GTGTACAAACGTAAACTTAGTGTGGGTACATAGCCCGGTGAACTCGTTCTGCTAAGTAAAACACAAAAGAAAAAGAAAACATTCACCAATCATATAGCGACAAAGGTAAAAACCATTAAACAATCATATAAACTGTCTTTGTTATGCATGCAAAACGTGAATGATCAACAAGCTATTTACCCGTACGCACTCAAGCGTGACGCACTACCGCAGTGGCGAATCCTCGCAACTTAATGATGATCATATTTTACAATTTGATTACTTAATTTAAACATCCTACATAGCATCGTATCCGCCTATGGTAATATTATAACATGAATCAATAGAATCACCAAATATTCTTCTTTCATCTAGTCGACGTCTTAATGACTGTTATGATGTTACCAGCAGATAAATTTGAGCAATTAGAAAAAAGTTATCATGGTATTACAACTGAATTGAACATACATACGACGCAGTTTGACCATTCGTGTATTATGATCGTTAACTAGCAGCATAGGCGCTACTTGTGGTCGACATAAGGCATACGTTAGTCCTACTACTATCCAATACTAATAACCCGATATGAGTATATGAAAAATACATTATCAATTCACGTGAATCTAAAATGCAGAATGCATCCAGGTTTATTGTCTTTCAGGGCTACATCAAGCGTGACGCTAAGCCCCCTCCCCCACCCCCTACGCTCCTGATAATTATCCGTTTTGTTTTGTGTTTCAGGGTTACAACAGGCGTAACGCGTTTATTGTTACCCAGGCCCCAATGTCTGAGCCGGCCGACACAACTGTTGATTTTTGGCGTTTAGTGTTAGATTACAAGACTGACATAATCGTTCAACTTAATGACAAAACTGAAACTTGCGCCGAATACCTTCCTCAGCGGATAAGTCAAGAGCTGAAGATTGATCAATTTACCATTAATACGAAGTCGTCTGAGCAAAACGATTTAATGATCGAACGAAAAATCATGCTACAGAAGGTCCGTTGTTTTGCCTTAGCACTATATTGTTCTCATGCCTCATTTACTCGAATATAATTAAAAATGCTAGAATTTTATCTTCTTATTTTAGTGGCTACGTATACACATGGTGTACTCTACAAATTTATAATATTATAATGTTATGTCTATATTTTATTTAAATTTTGCAATTGCTATACAACTCATTAGCCTAAATATGTCAGTTATTTAAAAAAAATAAAAGCATATTCAGATTCTAACCTGACACCAAGCTACAACCAACAACTCAATTCAATAAAGGCGAGGCCTTCCATTATTCCATTGGCTGAATATAGTCCTATTCATATTAATAATTATTGTGTGTGTGTTTTTCTTTTAATTCAGGACAATAAAGTACAAGAGATTTTACACTTTGAGTTTCGGCAGTGGTGTAACGCAGAACGTGTTCCGAAGGTCGATTCGTTTGTCAGGTTTATTGCAGCCGTTCAACGCGCTCACATTCCTCAACATAATCGGCCAATCATCGTACACTGCCTGTACGTTTAGAATTATATACTAATATATAATACTAATATAATAATCAAATATATATAATTGCCATTCTTATGCTCATAATTTTTTCTATCGATTTTTATTCAGGAATGGTGCGGTTCGATCAGGATTGTTCTGCTCGGTATATTCAATAATAGATAAAATTAAAGAAGAGAAAATTGTAGATGTATTCCAAACACTCAAAAAACTGCGATCAGTTTGTCCTACAATGGTAAACTCCAAGGTAGGCTGTATTGCGAATCAATATTAATTAAATAGGTCTAGTTTTATCCTAAGAGTCAATAAATAATAACAAGAACAAGAAATATACATTTAGTAATAATGTTTTTCTTTTAATTATTTAAATGATTTTAAGTACATTGACAATAAAATCGATTTCTAAGCAGCATTATCTTTCGAAAGAGAGATATACACACATAACCTAAGCCTCATTATGAGACTTCAATTACTATGTGTGCCAGTTACTAGTAATAATAATAATAATTTTGGCTTATAGTACAATGGAATAATATAAATAATAATGTTTAATATAATAATTATCATAAAGGTAAAGTAACAAAATATTTCTGGTGGTGATTGCGCAGTACACCGGGAGACAACTGTCTCTTATACACATCTAGATGTGTATAAGAGACAGATATATATATATATATATATATATATATATAACGCAAAAACATTGAACAAACGGTGTACAAAGTTGACTTGCGGAACACAAATTGAGATCTTACACATACATAAAGAATAATAACTGGTAATTAGTTGATTGGACCACAAAATATAAGTTCAGTGACAAGTTAATGGGCGCATTAATTACAATTAAACCATGATAAAATGTCGGCAAAATGATTGTGTAAGCGATAGTTCATTGGCGGTGTCATTGTACCAGCTTAATGCTGATACTTATTTAACTACAGTAAACAGGAAATAAAACATAGTAAGATTAATATAAGGTCCTATATAATTAAATCAATTGTGGAATAGAAAGTAAATTGCAGAAATATAAAGCTATGTATGAGTTTAAATAATATAACGCATAATATCACGATGACTATAAAATACAGTTTAGAAATCAATGAATATAATAAAATGTACATAAGTAGAAATAATATGATAGCATATATTGTTAGATACTGTATTCATAGTGAATTATAGTGTGTGAAGGCATAATCACGTGTAGAGCCTAAGTCCTTATTTAGTCCCTTAATTTGAGTTTTTAACCGGATTATCGATTTCATTATGCGTTACGTTGTTGATGGTGTGATTAGGTGAATTAAAATTTGCACTTACTGGGCAATTAGTTGAGTTGTGTTCTATAGATGATTTGTGGTTGTTCATTCTAGATCTAAAAGTTAGACCAGTTTCGCCAACATAGTTTTACTTGTTGCATTTGTAGCAGTATGGTCTGGTACTGGTACTACTTGTACTTTTATCCGTCTGATTTCAGACATTCGGCAGCCATTGACATTATGTTGGCGTGTGATGAGGGACCTGTGTACAAACAATTACAAAACACAAAAAATATGGAAACTGAATGCTATTTACAAAATATTCTATTTAATGCTTATGGGTGAATATTTCTTTGATAAATTGGCTTCTATTTAGTTGATGTTCATCTATGACCCGTTGAAGAATAGATTTGGTTTTCTTTCCTCTTGTTCCGTTGGTTATATAGTGAAATGTGAGAATTTTACATGGATCATCATTTGGTCTTCTTATAACATGACTCATCCATTTTGATTGTTGAGTCTTGATAGAAGGTCCTAAGTGGCATGATGTTTGTTATTTGATGTAAATTCTCGTTTGAAATCATATACCTCCAGTCATATTCATCTGTTGTTGATTGTTGGTCACTGTCTTTACTGTCTGTTTCAATGTTTCTGGGTGGTGGTGAGGTATATAATATTTGGCGAGTTTATTCAGTACTGTCGCATAAGATGTCGCATAATTGACATCTAGAGCTGTTACATCGTGTGTTGCCATGTATTTAGCGGAGGGGTGTTTAGATAAGGTTAGAGTGGACTTTAAATTAGGGGGTTGCCTACGTGCTAGTAGAGGGGGTTGTAAAAATAATTATTTAATCGATGGGTCTTCTTGGAGGGAGAGGAAGTCTCGTTTAATTATCTTAGACAGTTCCAGGATTCTGGGACTATAGTCGAATACCATAGGTATCCGATCATTATTAAATTTAGGTCTATATGTTAAGAGAGATCAGTGTCAGATTTATATGAGGCTTTTTTAATCTGGGTTTTTCTTACACTTAACTTTCAATGATTGTACACTATTTTTTCATTGCTTTTAACTTCGTATTGTTATATATATACATATATATATATATATATATATATTTTTATATATATATATATATATATATTAAAAAATA